GGAACAGAGGGCACAGATATTGGAAGTGGGGGGGACACATTTTTTAAAGGTCTTTTTTTCTGCTTCAGCTGAAAAAAGTGGGGAACAGAGGGCACAGATATTGGAAGTGGGGGGGACATGTCCCACCCTGTGTCTATGGTGGTTACGCCCATGCCTGATGGATAGAGCTTCATCAGAGCTCAACAACAACAACAACAAAAAAAAATCTGAAGCTTCTATGTTGAACAGTTTCTGAGTTATAAGCATTTTTGCATGTCCAGACACCCCGTCTTTGAAAGGAGCCCCCTCCTCAAATATGGGGTCCATCATAAAACCGTTGGCTGGTGCAGTGTAGGTCAGACTCATCTACAGTCCTGCCAAATTTCAGGTTGATTGGTGCAGCCAGGTTTGTGCTACGGTTGACCAAAAATAATTGATAAAAGAAAAAAAAACGTACGAAAACAATGACTACTGCTTACGCTTCGCGTGCGGGGGGTCATAATAACGTAACCTTTCAAAATTACACTAAGCTCATCAAACCATTGCTGTTAATGATTAAACTGGCTAGCAGATATTAGATTCTGCAGTAGATATTTCTATACTAAGGTATAGCACTATGTTGAATCATTGTACAATTAAGCACAAATTAATATGTATTGCAAGCTGGGATTGCCTCAGATTAGCAGTTATACTACCCCAAATTCAACCGAATACAGTATAACATGTTCCAACAAAGTTGGGACAGGGGCAACCAAAGATTGGGAAAATCGAGGAATACTCAAAAAATACCTGTGTGGAGCATGCTACAGGTGAACAGGTTAATTGGAAACAGGTGAATGTCCTGTGGGTATAAAGGGAGCATTCCCAAAAGGCTTATTCATTCACAAGCATGGATGAAACAAGGTTCACCATTTTGTGAACTGTGTGAGCAAAATGTCCAACTATTTAAGAATGTTTGCAAGGAATTTAGGGATTCCCTCTCTCTTATTGAGTGTTGTTAAAAGGAAAGGTAAATGTAGCACAAACATGGTGAACATGCCCCTGTCTCAGATTTTTTGGAATGTTTTGCAGGCATCAATTCAAAATAAGTGAATATTAAAAAAACTGTTTATTTGTTTGAACATTAAATGTCTTTATGGTGTATTCCAATGAATATACAGTATGTTTAAACGGACATTCAGATGCAGCATCTATGACATTGTGGAGCAAAAATGGCAACCAAACAGGGCAGCAGCTCCCAAACAACTGATATTATATTAACTCCTTGGTATGGACAGAAAGGAGTGGTGTTGCATCATGTTCAGTTATGAGTCTTGGTACTGCGGTATCGTGGCCATGGTGTGAGCATAATGTGGTGCAGAGGATAGAGGACCGATCATGTCGCTACAACAGAGAGACACCTTGATGTTACTCCTGGCCTTATAATGTGGGGAACCATAGGTTATGATTTAGGTCACCTTTGATTGATAATTGATCTGATGGTACAGCACTACATCAGTGACATCATGCATGTGTTAACACTCCTGACATACTGTATCACCCCGGTGCGGTCTTTCAACAACACAAGAGCTGTCCACTGACAGCACTTCCCAGAGAACTGCCTGAATCTTTTTTGAGGACCTTTGTTGCCTTCAGGTTCCCCAGTATTTTTCCCAATCAACATGTCTGAAACTAACTCAGAAATACAATTTGGTGGACTTGATGCAAAGAAAAGATATGATGACTTTGGTATACACCAATTCACAGCTTGTGTTTAGGTCTTAGAAAGTTTCAGACCATACAGATGGGACCAGCAGGTGTCTGTACTGCAACTCTGTTAACCATTGTTTTATACTTAAATAGTACCAAATCATTCAGCCTGTGTTCATCTGGGTGCTCTACTTTGTTGTTTGCTTTTTTGTGCCACTGAATAGTGAACCCATTCTCACTCCCGAGTCGTCACATATTGACGCTTTTCCAAAGTTCCCTCTGCGTCCGATTTTGACGCGTCGGGTACCCTAGCATCATTTTTGACGAGATGGGGAGGAATCTGTTGTCATAATTTCTGAAAGTGTAGAAAATGCACAAATGTAACTGTCCCAAAGCCTAAAATTACCTTTATTTACTTTAGACATCCAGTCCCTGACCCTAGTACCTGAAATTAACCATTTTTAGAAAATGTAGGAAATTCATGTCAACTACGTGTTCCAAAGCCTAAAATTACCTAATATTCACTGTAGACATCCTATCCCTGACGCCAGTACCTAAACTTAACCATTAATCCTGATCCCTCATGTTAACCTKAGACCCCCGACCCAAAGACCCCTGGTGGCGCAACCTGGAAAAGCCACGGGCGGCAAGGACTGATGCGAGGGGGTCACCCGACGCGTCAAAATATGACGCAGAGGGAACCTTGGAAAAGCGTCAATGTGTTGACGAGTCGGGAGTGAGAATGTGTTAGAATAGTTGTTTCATTTAACGTGCTGAAAATGAAGCAGGTCAATCAAATCTAGCACATGTATGTGTGAGTTTGACCTGGCTGGCACACATTACCACAAGGCTTTTAAAATTGCCTGCTTCTATTTTCTGTTTCTTGAGATCATAATGTGTGCGATGCTGAATCCTCTCCTCTCTGCTGTTAAATTAATCAGTGTTATTGGGAGTTAGGATATTCCAAAAATAAACAAAGACTAAAAATAGCATGAGTTCTGAGATATTGAAATGCTTACCAAACACAGTCCTGGCTGGCACAGATTCTCTGTTCAACCAGAAGGACACCTGGGAGAGAATAACTGTCATGATGCACGGCAGGTACGTCTGAATGACAAAGTAGCCAATCTTCCTCTTCAGATGGAAATGAGCCGTCATCACTGTGTACTCACCTGCACAAGACAAAAATCCAATATTTATGTGAAAGCTTCAGACCACTCACACTGTTTTTGTTTCTCTTTCTTCTATCAAGCAGGTTTCTTCTGTACATTTTTGAACGCTATCTCATTCGACAGTTTTGAAACAATTTTAGCATTTTAGGTATCAAAACATTAATGGGCCTCATGCAAGAACCGTTCGTACGCACAGATTTGTTCTTAAGTTGTGCGTACGAGTGATTTAGGAGAATTTGTGGCATTCACCAATG